TCTTGCACAAGATACAAGAGAATATGAATCTGTGACGGTTCTCTATTATTAACATGAAGAAAATGATAGCATACATAACATATCTCACATTACACACACTCTCACACACAGGTCCTCGGAGGAAGTTGTAGTATGTCATCCCCGCGTGGACCTATCACAACACACACAAAAGATAGGAATGCATTACAATTTTGTCACTATTAAATTTTTTTTCCAAAGCTGGAACTTTATTATTAACCAGTGCAAAAAACAGCATTAAAAAACAAACTACAAATCGACCATCATAAACACCAACAGCATCTGACAGATTGTGGAACACATCCAAGAAAAGCTACATAATAACAACCAAATACTCACAAGCCTAGTCATCATCCTCAATTATATATTTGACACAGTCTACGACATAATTACGCCTTTATCTTCTTACACTTACCGAGCTTTCAGTAGAGTGGGATGCTTGGCAACAACTGTACTAAGCAGCTCTCGTGCTGTATCCAAATTACCTGAAATGGTTCATAATCAAATTCTATTCCACAAAGGTCATTCATTGGAACTAAACTTAAAAATTGATTATTGAAATTATATAGTCAGATAATGTCACAGAAATTGTTTAAACTTAATCAAAATGTAAGAATATAATACTCTTTGTATTATATTATGACTTTTCCCATTTCCACTCAATGTCAAATATATATAACAATTATATCCTCAAATATACTAAGTCTATATATATATCCTACTAAAGAATAATAATCATTTTTCCTTTTCCTTTTCTTGCCCTTCTTACATATCTTTAAAGATAGATAGATATAAGATATACATTATGTGCATGTACTTGGGACGTGAAATTAATCTTCATTAATAAATGAAAAAAAATACATATTATCAAAAAAATATTCAGACTGTCTTCATACACAGCCTTTAATTACAATAGAAAAAAAATTAGCTAGCCAAAAATACTACTACTTAACCAAATATTTTAACTGAAAAGACAATTGTAACATCACAGTCAAAGAGACTGGTATTCATCAAAATCATTTCAGCATTATGAGACCTCCATTGAGGTACAAAAAAGAAAATAAAGGGAGAGAGAGGATAAAAGATATGTACATACAAACTTCCTACCGCAGATGACCCTGGTCTGGAGAGAGGTCCAGGGTCACTTTCTTTACCTTGTGTTTCCTCAAATTCTGCCCATTGCATGAGAAGGCGGGGTTTACTGGGGCAATGTATCCACGCACCACGACGGTATGTGTGCCTTACGCACACGACGGCCTCACCACCCAACCCAACCTTTATCACGCGGGGTATGAGCGGGGGACATCTCAACACTCTTTCAGCCATACTTATATTAACACTGAGTTTGTCTTTGAGCTGTTTGTAAGTCTGGGGCTCTGTTTCTACTATTTTTTTCCTCTGTTCATTGCCTGTCTGGTCATTCTGGCTGGCAGAGTCCATTTCTGAGATACAGTTTGAGAGCACATGGACCTCACACACTTTGGCGTCTTTATCACAGTTACACTGGTCACTATTCCCAACTGAGGAGTCGTCCCTTGTACTTTCATTCTGTGCATTGGCAACAGAGCCCCGGTTACCTGAATCATCTCTATCTTTAACATCTTTAACATCAACTACACTCTCATCATTTACCTGACTATTCTCATCAGACTTATCATCACAATTTTTTCTCTTAGCTATGCACTCAGAAGCTATGGCAGAGTTCTCACTACTTTCACCACCTCCTTCCTCAGCCTCTGCCTTTTCTGCTTCCTTCTTATCACCACTTGCATCACTCACTTCTTTCTCTTTCTTTTCGCTTTGTTCACTGTGTACTGCATCCATGATGTCTTGCACATGCTTCTCCATGTACGAAGCATAGCGGCACCACATGTCTTCATATAGGGCACAGGCTACAAGAGCACGTTCAAAGAGTGGAATTATTCGAACAGGGTCTCCTACCCCAATTTCAAAGTCTAAATATTCATTCCAGTTCTTGAGTTGTTTCTTATCTAGAGGTTTCACATGAAAATAAGGTCTTTTTATCTGGAAGATGAGAAGAAATTGTAAGCAACACAAAATGTCAAAAAGAGAATGCTAAATACTTACCTAACAACAGCAGTGTCAGTTTTTTTGGCCTACCTTCTCATGTGCAATTAATAGGAGTGGCAGGGGGCAAGCTAGCCATAAATTGTGGAACAGTACTATTACCACTTCATCAAAACCATTCTTTGTTTTACATTACTGAATATGCTGCTCATTTTTTTTGGCTCTGAGAGGAGCAATGTGAGGAGCTCAATTCAAATTTTTTCCCATAAAATGCACATTAATAAGGCTTACTATATCATACTTCATCCCATTTATATCTGGCATTTACAAAGTTAAAACCTGTATCTTAGGTATATGCTCTCTTTTAGAAATCATACAGTTATATTATCCTTTTTACTTAAAATTCCAACTCATACTGAGAAGTCGGTAATGATTTCAAGTAGAAATTAACATAGAGAGCCCAAAGGAAAAAAAAATGAATACCATTTTCTCCTGACAAATCAGCCCTTTTAAAAAGTAGATATCAAACAGAACTACTTTCCTTTTGTAAAACAGTATACTTGTAATCAAAACATCAAAAACAGAAGTAGAATACCCAGAGAATACCCCTTTTCATTTAAAGCAAAAGGGTCACCTCACCAAAATACTGACCCTTTCCTCAAACTTCCATCTCTTGTCAACCTCCTCCTCATTGTGTTCATGAGCCTTAATGTAAGAAGCCACTAGTTTCTCCTTCATGCGAGATGTGAGCTTGTCTTCGGGCTGAGGAGTCTGTTGAAGGAAGACATAGTTAGCAGCTGATGATAAAGTTCTTTAATTCCATGCTTTTATTCCCATCATAAAAAATTAGGGGATAAGGAGAGAAAAGTGGATAAGTGACATTATCAATAATATATCCAACTGAAAGACCTATTCCATCTAAAGGACTCCATTTCATGGACTATATAAAATGTAACAAAGGTGCTGTGTACTACATCATCAATCATCATCATCATCATCATCAAGGAGAAGGAGGAGAAGGAGAAGAAGGAGAAGAAGGAGAAGAAGGAGAAGAAGAATGAGAATGAGAAAAAGGAGAAGGAAAAGGAGAAGAAGGAGAAGAAGAAGGAGAAGGAGAATCATCATCATCATCATTATCATCATCATCATTATCATAAATATCATCAATATCAATAGCAATAATAATATTAATATTAAGATACATAATAATAATAATAATAATAATAATAATAATAATAATAATAATAATAATAACAATAATAATAATGTAAACAAAGGTGCTGTACGTCGTCGTCAATCGTCATCATCATCATCATCAAGAGAAGTGGAGAAGGGAGAAGGAGGAGAAGGAGACGGAGACGAAGGAGAAGGAGAAGGAGACGAAGGAGATGAAGGAGAAGGAGAAGGAGAAGAAGGAGCAGGAGAAGAAGAAGAAGGAAAAGGAGAAGAAGGAGAAGGAGAAGAAGGAGAAGGATAAAGAGAAGAAAGAGAAGAAGGAGAAGAAGGAAGAGGAGGAGGAGGAGGAGGAGGAAGGAGAAGAAGGAGAAGGAGAAGGAGAAGGAGAAGAAGAGAAGAAGGAAGGAAGAAGGAGAAGGAGAAGAGAAGAAGGAAGAGAAGGAGGAAGAAGAAGAAGAAAAAGGAGAAGAAGGAGAGGAGAGAGAAGAGAAAGAAGGAGAAAGGAGAAGGAGAAGAGAAGAAGAAGAAGGAAAAGGAAGAAGAAGGAAAAGAAGAAGAGAAGGAAGGAGAAGAAGGAAAGGAGGAGAAGATGAAGAATGAGAAAAAGAGAAGGAAAAGGAGAAGAAGAACAAGAGAAGAAGAAGAAGCAGGAAAAGGAGAAGGAGAAGAAGGAGAAGAAGGAGAAGAAGGAGAAGAAGAAGAAGAAGAGAAGGAGAAGGAGAATCATCATCATCACCATCATTATCAGCAATATCATCAATATCAATAGCAATAATAATACTAATATTAATAATATTAATAATAATAATAATAATAATAATAATAATAATAACAATAATAATAATAACAACAATAACAATAACAATAACAATAACAATCAATCATCATCAATAATAATCATAAATAATAATAATAATCAATAATAATCATAATAATAATCATAATAATAATCATAATAATAATCATCATTATCATCATCTTTATCCTTATTTTTATCATTATCATCATTATCATTATAATTACCATCATCATCATCATCATTACTACTACTACTACTACAATCATCATCATCATCATATCATCAATCATCATCATCATCATCATCATCATCATCATCATCATCATCATCATCAATCATCATCATCATCATCATCATCATCATCAATCATCATCAATATCATCATATATAACAATATATCAAATAACATAATAACAATAACAATAATAATAATAACAATAATAATGATAACAATAATAATGATAACAATAATAATGATAACAATAAAAATAATAATAATAATAACAACAACAACATGAAGGATAAGGAGAAGAAGAAGAAGAAGAAGTAGAAGTAAAAGAAAAAGAAGAAGAAGAAGAAGAATGAGGATTAGGTAGACCTGCAAAATAAATAACAAAAAGTAACAGTAATGATAGTATTCAAAATCTAAAATAATTTCAAGGAACAGCATAAACAGGTGAACTCAGGTAAGCCTGGAACTGAATCCTTGGTGATTAAAAGTTTGTAAAAAAATATATATATATATAAATAATGAATGAGCATTACTATCTTCAGTGTACAAGAGGTGTATCTGACCAGTTTCAATTATACATTCATAAAAAATATATATATTTCTGATGTAAATAAAATCAAAACCAGCCAACTCTATCTTATTGTGAGAAAATATTAATTTTGCATTGTCAGAATGAACAACTAAAAGCTTGTGAAGCAATCTATAAGAAAACAAAATAAAGAAAGAAAAATCACAAAGACCATTGCATGTACAATTGTCTGAACTGTTTTCTATAGATAGTAGACACGTCAACTCTGTGATTGTTTCCATTCTCATCCTACAACTTAAACATATTCAGGTGTGCAGCTTGTAGGCCAGGTGCAAATGAACACCCATGTACAGTGACAACTCTATGCCTCCACTTAGCTATGTACCTTAGTCTTTATATTTTTTTTTGACATTTTCCAATGACTATTTTTGTTATCCGGATTGCTCAATCCAGATGGTAATAGGCTGTTTTCCTTGCACAGATTCCACATCACCTCTCTAGATAGACTATAACTCAGTGCAAGAATAACAACATTATATAACATATTGTTACTTGTCTTTTTCTTCTTCTCTATTTTATAATACAACCTGCATCACCAGTCATGGCAGGCAGATATAGGATCCTGAGTATTTTATTTTTTCGCACCTTTTAATTTGTTAAAAATCTAATTTTCTAGACATAAAATTGCCAATTTGGCTTGAAATATTTTCAATCAAAAATAAAAACCATAACAAAACCCGGATTTGGTAATTTATTGGTTAGGAAACCTCAAGATACAGCCTACCTCCCTAATTCCCAGTTACCCACATACCCCATAATCTTCCAGTACATGTTATTTGTAACCAATGGTGTGTATTTAGTTATCACTGCATTAAATCTATATATATCCACTGCAGTAACATTCATGAATAAAATTCCATACATGGTGAACTAATGCTCATTATGAGGTTTACTTGAAATATTTCAAGCTGCAGCCTGAGAATGTAAACAATCAGAGTTGCCAGTTCTATTGTCCCTTAAATGCCGGTGTACCAGGTATATGTGGAGGCATCTGTACCTGGCATCAAAGGGTTAAATCTGTTAATTTCCCTTTCATTTTCTCTAATATTACAAGTGAAATGTATTTTGGGAGACTTTCTAACATAAATAAAATTAGCATATCATTTTGATTAAGAGATTTTCACTTAATAAAGCAGGGAACATCCAAAAAAAAATATGGTTTACAACATAAAAATAGCTCTTTCTCTCAAAAAAAGCAAGCAAGCATACTGAAGTTTTTGGAAATCAATATACAAAGTTATTGAATTTTCAATCCACAGTCAGACACTTGACGATTACTCCCCTCACTGAAAAAGAAATATTGTACCTTGTGAACAGACTTTGGAGGCACCATGGAGCATGGTGTGTACTTGATCTTGAGTTCCTCACATGTCTCTTTCCGTAGCTTTTGGTACTCTTCCACAGAGAGAAGGTTACGAGGATGGTGGTCCCTTATTATGGCGAGGAAACTGAAGGGGGTAGTTAATACTTTACCCTTATAGAGTAATATTAGGCTATGTATATTTGATAATTATCATTGAAACATGTACTTCATATCTCTTTTACAGTAAAAAGATGAGAGTTCAACCTATAAATTAGACAGCTTTCTAAGCATAAATAACCCCCATTTTTGGCTAATCACTTACTGGTCCCAGTGTTTATTGTACAGCTTCGTTGGTGTAGACAGAAGTCTCTTGTACAATCCCATGACTTGAACAAGGTCTCCTGTGTCATGTTGTTCATAGTTTATACAAGTTTCCCAAAGAGGAGAACTGTGCCATCCTCTCCCTGCCGAGTCTAGACCATACTCGTACAACCTGCAAACAGTGTTAATATCATTATACAAAGTTCATGACATATGGAGAAACAAATGGAAGTTTGGAAAAGACTGAGAGGCAAATCAAAATGCTTGATAAAAATAATAACTTATGTATTTTTATCAATTCATAACAAAGTCCAATATAAACAGGTGGTTGAAATAACATATACATGTTAAAAATAAAAAAGTCTTTACATGTCTGTACCCATTTCAGCTTCTACAATCGATTCTTATCTAATGTCATGAAAGGAACAGCATCACATTGCATCACCTAACAGTCATGGTGACAAAACCTACAAATACACTTTACAAAAAGAATACTGATATTCACTCCTTGAGTCATACTTACACTCGGATACACTGAGGCTCCAGCGACTTCCCTTTGCCATAGGAGATGAAATTCTCCACAAGTGGAACCCACAAGTCTGTGCAAAACGGCACACATTCACTTCCAATGAGAAGAATACCAAGAGATCTGTGGGGGAAAATTAAAACACAAAAGAAAAATAAAATACATATAGGTAAATAAGTTTTAAAAAATAAAGAAGAAAATAAAAGACAAATGTAGAAAATACAGAAGAGAAGACAAGAGAAGAAAAGTGAAGAGAAGAGAAGAGAAGAGAAGAGAAGAGAAAGGAAGGGAAGGGAAGGGAAGGGAAGAGAAGGGAGGGGAAGAGAAGAGAAGTGAAGAGAAGAGAAGTGAAGTAGAGAAGAGAAGGGAAGAGAAGAGAAGGGAAGAGAAGAGAAGAGAAAGTGAAGTGAAGAGCAGGGAAGAGAGAAGAGAAGAGAAGAGAAGAGAAGAGAAGTGAAGTGAAGTGAAGTGAAGTGAAGTGAAGTGAAGTGAAGTGAAGTGAAGTGAAGTGAAGTGAAGTGAAGTAAAGTAAAGTAAAGTAAAGTAAAGTAAAGTAAAGTAAGTAAAGTAAGTAAGTGAAGTGAAGTGAAGTGAAGTGAAGTGAAGTGAAGTGAAGAAAGAGAAGAAGAGAAGAGAAGAGAAGAGAAGAGAAAAGCAAAGTAATTAGGGAGGAGAAGACAAATAGCAGTATTTTTTTTTATAATTGTGAAATTCAAAGTAAGATTTTTAAAACAATTTAACTGTTAATCCTGGAATTTTCATTTTCATATTAACCTGTAAAAACATGAAAATCATAAAGCAAATTATCAAAGAAGGAAACAAATGGAGAATGAGGAGAAAATTTTTAAAACGCAATGTGGAAGAAAAGCAGAGAGAAAAAAAGAATTTAAATGAAAAGATGATAAGGGAGAGTAAAGGGGATTAAAGGAAGAAATTCAAGAAGAAAATGAAGAAAAAAATATACAGAAACACATAAAAAAACAAGAAAGGCAAAGAATAGGTAATGGGGAGAATACAGAAAAAGGAAACAAGGAAAATTAAAATGGAAAAAAGGACCCTAAAGCACACCAACAACAATAAAATGTCAAGCGGGAAAAGATCATATACATAAAACAAGAAAAAACAAAAAAATAAACACACAAAATTCAAAATCAAAGAGAAAAAAAAAAATCTCAAACCTTTCTGTATTTTTGTGCCTCATCTCCATGTCACTGATCTTCTTCCAATAGGCAAAGCAGTAAGGGTAGAGGGGCAGGAATCCCTCAAAAGCAGAACGGGCTGCTTCCAAGTTGTTCTGGAAGACAAAAAGAAAAAAAAAAAAAAAAAAAAAAAAAAAAAAAAACTATGTTGAAAAATAAGAGAGATCCTCTGAGTCTTGTGTTTATGTACATTTACATATGGATATGCATAAACATATACATTGTGTGCGTGTGTGCGTGCACGAGTGAGTGATTGAGTGCATGAGTGTGTGCGCACGTGAGTGAGTGATTGACTACATGAGTGTGTGCGTACATGTATGAGTCCGTGCGTGAGCAAGCGAGCGAGTGCGAGAGTGCATGCATGAGTGTGTATGTGCATGAGTGCGTACGTGCATGAGTGTGTACATGCACGAGTGCGTGGATGCGTAAGTGAGTGTGTGAATGCGTGTATGATTGCATGAGTCAGTCAGTCAGTCAGTCAGTCAGTCAGTCAGACAGTCAGTGCATACATAAATGAAAGAGAGTGAGAGAGTGAGTGAGTGCAAACATAAATGAAAGAGAGTGAGTGAGTGAGTGAGTGCATGTGTGTATAGACTAATTAACCTTCATTTTCAACACATTTCTTGAATAGCAAGTCTTACTAGCCAAAACTGCAGACAAGGAAAAAGCATACTGATAATCTAATGCTCCTGCAGCTAATTATGCATTTACCCTATGTTGCACTTATATGTACACATCAGCAACTTACATCAACCTCATTTGCAGACAAGGAAAAAGCATACTGATAATCTAATGCTCCTGCAGCTAATTATGCATTTACCCTACGTTGCACTTATGTGTACACATCAGCACCTTACGTCAACCTCATTTGCAAGTGTCACACATGAGTGACTTCATTGTCTATGGGTTGAAATCTGATTAGTCCATTCACCATTTTTATGTATGAAAGGAGAGGGAGCACACAAAAATCTATGCATGCATATCACAAACTCGTCAATATAAATGCATTCCTCAACAAAACACACCTCTCTTGCTAACTCTTACCATGCTTTCCACGTGGTTGAGGAGGTATGTCCAACCATTGAAGTCGTAAGGATTCTCGCTCACAAACTGCCAGTACTGGTGAAGGATTGACCAAGCCGTCTCAATTTGTGCTTGTCTCTCCTCTGCTTTCTTTTCTTCCTCCTTTTTCTGGTTCTCCTCATCCTTCTTCTGTTCCTCATCCGTTTTATACGCAACTGTGATTTTAGCTACTTGAGAAGCAGATAGAATTTCTGTCCCTTCTTCCTTCTCTCCTTCATTCTTACCTAACAGTTCATCATAATATCTTTCTGTTTCAAGTTCCAGTTTTGCTGGGTCAGGTTCAGTAACTTCTTGCGATCTTTCCAAAACAGTCTGAGATTCTGCATTCATGTCTTTAGATGCTGAGAAATTTGCTGGCTGTGCTGCTGTAGCTGCCTGAGGGGCATTAGATGAAGGGGTCACATTGTCATACTCTTCTTCACTGTCAACGGTCTCCAGCTGCAGTTCACCTTCAAATTTATTATTACCCTGTGGTGTGGTCTCTTCTCCCATTGGCAGCTTCTCCCTTCTACTGGCCTCCTGGTCTGACTTTCCATTCTCTCTACAGCTGCTGTTTCCAGAGCCCTCCTGAATTGGGCCAGATGCATTCTGAACTTCCCCAAAAGGTGCTGCACTTGCATTCATCTCTGGACCCTCACCACTCTCATTCACTTGGCTGCTACTAGCACTGCCATTCTTCCCCCCATTTTCTGTTTTGACAAAGGAGTGCTGTAGGTGGGGGATGCCACTAAGTATCATGGGAGGATCAGCTTTGATTACACCCTTTCCTTTCCCCCCCCTCCCTCCATGCTTGCCCCTTCTCCCTCTCCCCCAACTGCCTCTGGGATTGGGTGGGGGTGTTCTTTCATGGTTGTATGGGCTATCATGGCTGTCATAGTGGCCAGAGCTTCCCATGCCATCCCTGTAGCCAGGATCACACTGCCTGCTATTCCTGAAAGATTCAAACAGAGATGTTTTCGACTATCAAAAAGAAGAAAATGGATGATATGAAAAATAAGTGGAAGCAACAATAATAAAGAGGAAATTATTAAAAATCTAGAGTCTATATAACAGTTTGCATAATGGGTGTCCATAACAGCCTATAATCCTATTGTAAGCATGAAAACAAATCTCAAAAATTTGTCAGATAAATTTTCCAAAGTAAGGGTGACAAACATTACCAGTGTTGATCATTGTCATAATACAAGAGCCTTCTGTCTGACTGCTGGTGGTCATAGTCATAATATCCTCCTCTGTCTATGGATGGCTGGGAGTCAAAGGCTTCTCTTTGCTCAAAAAAGCGAGGAGATGCCCTTCTCCCATAGTTATAGTCCATTCTGTTATCATCATCTGTAAAGGGACAGAAATGATATCAGTTGTGTTATTCCAATAATACAATGGAGGTAAATCACCATTGGTAAACCTTATCAGTGAACATTTGTTAGCACTCACAACTTAAAGCAAAATACAATATTTGCAGAATTTAGTCAAAAATATTTATCTGTACATTCTTAGGTACAAATACTTTGGCAATAGTAGTATTCACTCTCCTCTTTTTACAATTTCCACAATTTCCTTAAAATTTTGTTTCATAATAGTACTTGGGCAAAATCAATATTGTTGGATATCCAGTGTAAATCACAGCTTATCTTCAGTAGATGTGAGCAGAAAACAAAATATATATTTCTTAATCAATGTAGATGTTCTGAAATAACCATGAAAATAAAAGCAACAATATATCATACTACAATTTAGCTTTTAACCCATTACCAAAGGGTTAAAAATTTGGCAAGTGGCCATTAACCCACTTGCGACGGGTGTCACACATATGTGACGACCAAAATAAGGACCATGGACAATTGTCCCACCAGTGCAACATTAGACCGGAGCTTGCGCTCCAACTATGTCGCCTGAGGCAGGCAGTGCATGGGCAGGTTTCCTGACTAGCCCGCACACCGATTTTAATACCGCCCGGAAATGAAGATTATCGCTTTCCAAATGGACCATCAAGGGTGGGTTAACATGGGACTGTTGGCATGCATTGAGAATTTACAGGTAACATAAGGCACCTAAATCCATATGTTTTGATATCACTAAAAAAGAAAAAGAATGTTATCTTCACCTTAGGTGTTAATGCCTAAAAGTTTCACTATCTAAACAATGCCACTACAAATGGAGAAAATCAATGAGCCAGCAATGCAGGAATGGATATGATGCATCACTAACCCTTACTCAATTCCAAGAGTACTCACTGTGTCTTTTGGAAGCAAACTTTAACAGTGCTATTTAGTGTTTCAGGGATAATACTGAATTCCCTAAAGTACAACAGGCCTAACCTTGTTCCAGCTCCACATACCTGACAGAAATCACCTCCCCACCCACAGCATATCTTTACCCTTCACAGAAAGGTACATCCAATTACATCTTTAAATGTATTGGCACTGAATATTGTAACAGAAGAAGCAGTCAGGTAGGATATGCAGCAAGGAAGTCGAAGGACAGTCCCTAGTTAGAGAAATGTGACAATCAATATGGGGTCTGAGGGTAACGACCCTGAGTTAGGAAAATTTTTCAAACATTTCAAAACATAATATAAAGTTCAATCATTTGTTTCTGCACACTGCTATGTGGCATCTTTTTTCTACCACTTTCCTTATCTAAATATGATTCTTGGCTCAGGTTTTAAATTTATTCCCTTTCTGTCACTACTGTAATTGCCTGCTACAAATTATTTCTAAATTATCAACCCCTAGAAAACCTTGGATCTGAAAGACTGCCCACAGGTTTGTTGGCTGGGTTGAAGTCACTATTTTTGATGAATTCCTTTGCACTGCTTACTGTAGTCAATACAAAACCTATTTGGACTCCACCTCCAAATCCCCATCCCATCACTGTGGCATTAAATAGTAACTTACTTTCTTCATTGCTGACATTATTTGATGTATCAGTGAGGGTAGTTTTTTTTTTCTTTCTTTGTATCTGTTATTAGATATCCCTTATCTTAGTGCAGTCATTATATATACATATAGCAAAGTATTAATTACATGTTGCACAACATTCTTATTAACAACTTGGAAAGGAAGTGTCATAGATAGGAAATTGTCTCAAATTTTGCCATTCTGTCCAGAACAGGCAAAATGATATCATTTAAGTTTCCTACAGCCATGTAGTACACGGTAACATTTCCCTGTGATGGACAGAATTACTGAAAATAAGACTCTTTTCATCTATGGTATTACCTTCACAAGTTGATAATAAGAAAGTTGTAAAACAGGCAATACTTTGGTAAACACTTCATTTAAACCACTTACAAAGAAAAATAACAAGATCTTCACACATTTTACAGCATTGACAATTGAAAGAAGGAATAAGAATTGCAAGATTGGTTAGCTGTGTGAAACTAAAAAATTACCAGCAAAATATACCTTGTACTGTATGGCTTTGTTAAAGTGAAACTATTTTCCAAATCTCCTTTAATCACTGTCATCCTATGGTAAATTTGGAAATGAAGCCTAACACTGACTTCCAGATGAAAACTGTGTATTTTTAAAATCTCATGTCGTGTGCCAAACGAATCAAGCACCCATTTCCTTTCACAAACAAAGCCAAGTTTTTGAGTTTTACATTTTCTCTACTACCCTTATTATAGTACTAATGCACTCATCAACCACTAAGTCCCCAACTCTGTCATAAAATTTATTCATCAATCTAAGTTGCCGTGACTGGGCGTGATCAAGGGGAGGGTTGATGGTTCTGCCCCCTAATATTCTGCCAGAAAACTTTGTTTTCACCTCGGTATGCATGGCAAGATTGAGCCAAAACTACAAGGTAATTTGTATGCGGATGCAAAGCCCCCTACTGTGTACAAGGGGAGGGTTGATGGTTCTGCCCCCTAATATTCTGCCAGAAAACTTTGTTTTCACCTCGGTATGCATGGCAA